CCTCTCTCCTTTTTTTCTTACATGAGCATACGCTCACGCAATTGCACAAATACGCATACATATGCACAGACGCACCACAATAATGCACATACGCATATACACACATTCTTTTTCTCTCATTCACTCATTCATGTTTCTCACTAGCATCGTTTTGCACTTCGTGTCCTGCACACGCGTTATCTCTCCCTCCCTCTCTGCCATCATCCGTTTAGTTACGCGTTCTCAATGAAAACCAAGCAGTATTACTATTATTAATTATTATTACTATTATTATTATTATTTTATCATTATAATTATTATAATTATTATTATAATTATTAATGCTATTATTCAATATTATTTGTTGTATCCGCTTAATATATATTATCCAATGTATTTATATATATACTTTTTTTTCATATAAACTCAGTGTTCCAACCAAGGTGGGTGTGACACAACTAAGGTATATGACACATACTGCCCGGTGTATGCGTGCGCGACACCGGTGGAGTCTGATGACGTTCGGGCCGCTGCACGCATTGTGCCCGAACGGGAAATCTCCCAGACCCGGCCGATGTCACGTAGAGAGAATCGTCTCTATCAGCGCGACGTACTCTCCGGGTTCGCGCGCGGCTCTTGCTATTCATCGCGATTACGCCTACTGCTTTCGACTCGGGGAAATTGTCTCATAACATCTCGCGTTTCTACCCACGAAAAAAAACTGGCAAGATCCGGCTTGTCATTTTTCCTTGTGGTTTCTACGCGTCATCGTAATTCTCTTTTCGTAATAATCGCTAGAAAAATCTTGATTTTAAAATCGAGCGAAGCGAAAAGAGAATTTTCATTCTCTTCCACTAAAATGCGTATTCGTGAAATTTTATTTCTTTCCTGTGTTATTAGCTATTCCGTTCTTTTCATCATATCTTCTAATAGAAAAAAAAATGTTGAAGGCATATCTCGGCCTCACCTCTTGCCTCTTTCTTTTGAATTTTTCTCTATCGAATTTCCTACTACTTTATTACACTAATTTGTAAAGCTTTTTCTTAAATTTCTCAAATTCAACGTTAATTTGTTTCACCAACCACCTCCTCTCTTGTTCCTCATTCATTTACTTTTCCCCGTGTCATTGGGGAAGGAAGAAAAACGGCGAAAATCGCGGCTTCGAGAAGATATCGAACCATCGGAGAGTACGAGCAACGGGCAGCGCGCTAGCCAACATATGACCGAGCGCAGGCAGTGAGCAGTTCATACGTACGTACACAGTATAATGTGGATACGGGGCGAGCGAGAGGCATGAAGCCCCTCTCTTCCAAAGGAGAGGGGACCCATGATCTTGGCTGCGCGCGATGGCTGTGCCGTTGCGTCGGAAGGGCGAGGACCTGACGAAGGAAGGACCGCGACAAACTCCTCCTTTCCTCATCATGATTAAGAAATTCATCCTCGAAAAAAAAACAATGTAACTCGATTTATAAGAAATTGCTTCTTAAAGAAATTGTCTTCACAAATCGAGACGAGATTCCTCGTTCCCGAAAATATTATCGGGACCACGTAGTGGTCCCGACTTTTTTTTAGAAATTTATCTCTACAAGATAGAATTTCTTGTTCTCGAGGAATTTGTTCTTGCAAATTCGAACTTTTTCTTCTGGAGGGATTCGCTCGCAGCTCAAGGAACGTTTTCCTCGCACAACCCGCACGCACAGCCGGCAGAGAGAGGAGACGGCAGAGAGAGATATCTGCGGGCTTCTCCCGCGCGTCTTAATTACCTAAGTCACATCGAACAGACGCAATTCCCCACAGTATCTTTTGTTTCCACAAAGTTTCCCTCAAATCTCATACACTCTCGCCCCCCTCTCTCTCTCTCTCTCTCTCTCGCATTCATTTTTACTTTCTTTCTTCTTCCTCTCTCCTTCTCCGCCACGGTTGCTGGTATCTTTCACTCTTTCTCTTTCTCGCTTTCTCTCTCTTTCTCTCTCTCTCTCCCTCTCTCACGCTCTAATCTATATCATTCTTTTTATATATTATATATAACAATATTTATATGATGAATTTTTAATGGATTCGAATCACATGCAGAAAGAACTTTGAGTTATTTCTGGCACGGATAAAAAAGGAAGAAACAAAACCACTTTGGCTTTCGCGTAACTCTAAATGAAGGATGTTCTCATAATTTAGCATTTAGTACATTTGAGAAAAAAAGAAAAAGAATAAAAACAAGAAGAAAACAGAAAGGAAAGAAGAAAAGAAAAACAACAACACCACACTAGTAAATGGCACTAGAATTGCTCTCACTTGTGTCATCGAATCTAATTCGCGATTAAAAAGCCCGTTTTTTTTAATTTTATTTTATTTTTTCGTTCGCCTCGCCGTTTCGCCTCTTTAGTTTCTTCTCCTCTGTTGAGATCTCTTGGACTCGAGACGAACACAGACGGACGCGCCGTTAAAAATCCACGCGGCACAGCCGCGCCGTGCGCCACGCTCACGCGCGTGAGACATATAGTTCGCCAGCGTTTGTGCACTTTTATATATATGTATATATATATATATATACATATATATCAAAGTCAGACAACGATGCCCGGGACCCTCAGGTATTGACGCATCCTCGGCCCGGGAATGGGGCGCATTTGCCCGCGATATCGACTAAGAACTAATCTACAAAAGAAAGGTAACAAATCCCAAAACGGGAACCTGTGTACGAGAGAACCGAATCGACTCGCGCGAGTTGGTATCGACAGTGAAGAGATTTTCTCATATCTCTCTTCCTCCGCTAAGAAAAAGAACGCGTAACGCTCGTGACGCTTTTAGGTCCTTGTTCGCCTTCTTACTTCGCCCCGCTTTTACGTCCTTCATAATTACGTGTGTATTACGCGTCTTAGTTACTTATGCTGGTACAACACTCTCGATGCGACGAAGTTCAATGTGGCGCAACGCACGTGTCGATATATGTGCGTATACGATGGCACCACGAGTTTGTCTCGTTTTTGTCTCGCGCCTCTTCGTCGTTTCCTCACGTCGTTCCACGGATCACGCTCGCGAGTCAACGGAGTAGTAGTCTCGCACTGATACATTGGTCAGGGTGCGAGAGAAACTGGTCGAGTCCGCTCGGATTTGCAGCGCGCTTCGCCGTCTAAACCAGATTGTACTCCTTCAGATTGGATTGTAGAATGGTGTCCTTTACCGCCGCGAACACGAATCTGATATTCTCCGTATCTGTAGAACAGAAAAGTCACATGTTCAAATATCAGAATGTATCCTTAACCCCGGATCTACAATAGAGTTTTAAGCCTTAAGCCATAAGAAATGGATGAATCATAGTCGATTATTCTTTTCGATTGTAATTGTCAATTTCTTACGACTTAAAGCTTAAAACATCTATTGCAGATTCGGGGTAAAACTTGTTCAAGAGAAACATTAATTGGTTGCAAGCATTGTTTGGTACATGCCATGAATTATTTTCTTTCTCCTCATATGACAATTCCCTAATTTATTATTGTAATTTAAACCTTTTAATACGCTAGATATTCTTAGAAAATTGATATTCAAACTCAAAATTAATGATGTGTCTATGTATTTGTAAAATATATCACACCATGCTCTGTTAGTTATTGTGAATGCTGTATAAATAAATTATTGATCCTTAATAACTTCAGGATATCATTAAAGATGTTTTTCATTAAAGATCTGTTTTGAAAGAATTAACATAAAAATTAGCGCAAAACAGAGATCGGCACTTACCCTAAGCAAGAAACTTCAAACTCTGGACAGTCATGACACACATGCAGCATGCAATTCCCTTCGAGATACTTTTTGTAGCATTACGAGAGAACGAAATCATAAACATACACTTCTTTTTCAATACTTGTTTTAAAGAAGCTTAAGTAATCAAAGATTAATAATGCAAAATTGAACAGGTCATATTAGTTTTGTTAATATAGACTTAAAATATTAGAATAAACACATTAAAGCGTGAAATAACTTATCTTAAGTATTTCTATGAATATATATATATATATATGTAGGTATTAAAAGCATTATTTCATTAAATTCAAATCACATATTGGAATATATATACATATAATAATAATTTTACAATCATTATAAAAATATTGTATATCTTCATAAACATATCATTGTATATCTTTATAAGCAACGTTTGTGAACAAATGTAATTTTCATCATAAATAATAATGGAATATTCTATTCTTGCCAGACTCTATGACAATATAACAGACAAAAATATCAAAACAAGCCTTTATTAAAAAGGTATATTAGCAATGCAATATGTTGCAAAAAATGAATTAATTTTAGCAATTATTATAGTGAACGTCAATTGCTATATTTCTTTTAGTTAGGGGTTACAAAGCTTTAATAATATATTTTTACTTAACGTATATTGTAATACGTTGTTGTGAACGGTAAAGCTGGCAGTTATTTTTGAAGTTTTCAAAAGTAAAATTATTCGCAGTCGACGACTAATCGCCTAGAATGACACAGAATTAAGCTTCGGAATAAATTTTAAAAAGCAACATATGATAATATTTGACAAATACGCAATAACATCTGTCAACAGGGTTGCCACAGAAAATGAATTTTAAAATTCCCTGACTTTTCCATGTTTTCCAGATAAAAATGGGAAATTTCCATGACCAATATAAAATATATAAAAATTTTAACATTATAAAATATGTAAAAACTTTAACATTTAGAATCAAGGATTGTAAGAAAGTTAGCTTATATTATTAAAAACGCAAAAGAAGCTTAGTAGCATAATAAAATTTTGGGGGAAAATTTAAGCCAACAAAAAATTAGTTTAGAAAAAAAGAATGTAGTTATGACGAAAAAGAGCGATCAAATAAAATTACTGAATAAAATATAAATTTTAATTATTTTTTAAAATCGTTTAAAGTGCACGAGTTTTGAACGTATTTGACTATAAACAGATCAGATATAATATTTAAAAAGTTATAAAAATTATTTTTGGAATAGGAGCAATTTAAGGGAATTGCGAGCAAAGTTCAAAATTCCAGTCTCTTTTATATTTTCCCCTGACTTTTCCCGGTTTTCCCAGTTTTCCAGGTCTGTGGCAACCTTGGTCAAGCAATCGCTTTACTATTTGGCCGCTCCCATAGTATTCGTTGGTTGGAATTATACTAAGGCAGTTTTGTTATAAATCTATTGCACATACAAATCTACATCATTCTCGGTGTCCAAATATTAAATAATATCGTCAAGAATCTGCGTACAATTAATAATATTTATATAGTCGCGTTAAGCAAGATTAAACTCCTTAAGCGCGGTTTGCATGATCGTATCCTTAACAGCGCAGAATACAAGCTTGATGTTTTCCGTATCTGATGATTAATTCCATGAACGCAGCATGCAAAATATAAATCAGGCATCATTGAGATTAATCAGCACCGCTTTATACCTTTGAAAAATCAACCCGATATCGAATTTATCAATATCCATCTTATTTTACTATTTTCTTCTAATATTTCATAATAATTCAGTAAATCAGTAAACACTGAGAAATATATATACAATATTTAGAAAATTGTATATACTATATAAATAATATTTATATTAAGTATATATTAAACCAAATAAATTTGATAGATTAGAATTGTTGCGTTAAAGACAACTAATACATTATTTGTGCTATTCTTTCACTCTCATCGAAAAAAAATCTTCTCATTCGAAAAAAAAGTCTTTCATACATGTAGGTTGATTTTCCGTGGTACATTTATAACATTTGATTACACACCTGATTATACGGGAGGCAGGCAACATACAAGCTCTGTACAAGACACAACACATCGAACTGTTATAAAGCGAAAGAAATATGGTATTTTTGTACACGGGAGTTATCAAGAGACTAGTCTACCTGTGGCACACGTAAAATGGGAATAAATAATCTTCTCGCTGTCCGGATTCAAGTCAACGAACATCCTTAGAATGAATTCTCTAGCTGTGAGAGCGTCTCTTTGTCGACCTGCGAAATACACAAGCGAGGGAGGGGCATGGCATTACTTCTGTTTATCTACAAAGCGATTATGTATTACGTAATCAGTACTTTTTTAGCGATCGTTTAACAACGAGAGGATTAATTGATATATATTGTTGAGATTTTTGCCAGGTGTAAATTCGACAAGATGTAAGCTAGAATTTGACTAAGTCTTCCGTGTTACGGGATTTCTAAGTGTTTTATAAGACAGGAATGAATCTACATCCGGGAAATATCATCGCTCAACATCGGTTTTACTTATATGCACAACATAACGCGAAATGCAGACGGATATCGATCTAATTTAATGCAATAATATTGTACTCCACTCAAATCCAATATACACTCTCCAAGGATAGCTTATTAAATTAGTCGTAGTGAACATCAAAGAAGCCTTTCGAAAGCCTCATTAATAAGCTAGAGAGCTTATGTAAGAACATTGAGTATAATTTTGCAAATTCGAAACAGTTGCTTATACGTTGTAGTTCGTAATAAAATCTAAAAGTCCCTTATCGCGAACTAAAAATTTCAAAAATCGTTTATCATTGTCTAAAAATTTCAGTTTAATGTAACTTTTACTAAATAAATATTTAAATTTCAGTATGTCGACGTAATTTGCATTAAATGTTCAGTAATTAATGACATAACAAAATTATAAATTACACAGGATGTGACGAGTGTTCTGATTATTGCTATTAGATTAACTAGCTTCAATCTACATAAAAGTTAATTTTGTATCAAGAATACGTACTACTGATTATCATAAATTATGCGCAAAAGTATGGATATAGGTTTGATATGTATTAAAATAGCCTTGCAAATAGATTACTATTAATAATAAACGCGAATTCAGAAACATCGGAGTGGCAAAGTTACAAAAAAAGAGCGTGAAAATCGCACGAAATATCATATTATTAAATCGTTCGACAAATAACTAGGGAATCTACGTTTTCTGCTCAGGATACACTCAGTACTCGAACAGACCTGTCGCACACGTAAAGTGAGAGTAGCACATTCGGTCAGGATCGGGATTACAACTGAGATACACCTTTAAGATGAACTCCCTGGCTGGTACGTCTTGTTGTTTCGGGCCTATACCATAGAACTTATTTATTTACTAATATCGAGATAAATAATCTATCGCACTTTATTCAGCCTGTGTGTCTTGAGATAGATTAATAATTTAATAAATATCGATTAATACTTTGTTTTAATTTCTTTGAGAGTATTAAAACAATATAACTTCAAATATATCTTTATCTTTTAATAAACATCTTGCGTTCAGAGTTTATTTTTACTTCCAAGTGATGAGATAAGATGTTGTCTGACTAAATTAACAAGGTAGTTAGCATTTTATGTCGGATGATTAATGATAATCCGTGGTTTATATAAAGAAGATATTACAACTTACCATCATATTCCGGAAAATAGTCGACAAGATGAGAGTACATAATCTTTTCTTCTAGCAGATCTTTCTTGTTGAGAAACAGGATAACAGAGGAGTGTTGAAACCAGGGATATGTTATAATCGTTTTGAACAATGCTTTACTTTCTTCCATTCGATTCTAAAAGGAATCACACACACAAATGAGTTGTAATATCATTCAAATTCATTGATAATTTCTGCATATCTTGTAAAAAATATTATAATTACCTCGTTTTCCGATTCAAATAGAATTTGATCATATTCACTTAGAGCTACTAAAAATATAATTGAAGTGACGTTTTCGAAACAATGGATCCACTTTCTTCTTTCCGACCTCTGCCCACCGACGTCTACCATCCTGCAAATAACATTCTGTTAAATTGAGCACTGTTACTAATGTATAAACGAAATATAGTCAAATCTTCATATTTTTAGAATGATTAATAATAATTAATATAGAAATGTATGAAATAAATATATTTTAAAAGATTATTATATATATATTAAAAAGATTATTTTAAAATATTTTCAAAGGCACGATAAAAGGAAAAGAATATGAAAATTCAACTACATCATTTTCCTAACTACTAAAAAGTATAGTCTATCGAATATGATCTCTACACGCTTTTCAATTTTAAAAAATACATAGGACGAATCGGGTCATAAGACGAGTAGGTCCTTAAATCTCAACAAACTCAGCGAATCAAATGCAATGTGTCGCTATTGTGACCTATGCCTGTACTATTGTGCTGTGCTCTTCATCTTTCATATGTTTTCAGGATTATTTGTAGTTTGCAATAAAAATGCAAATAAAATAAATAAAATTTTTATATCCTTTTTCATTTATTATATATGTGATTAAAAATTTATACTTATTGTCAAGATAGTTTCTCTGCTTGAAGATTTAAAATCAAAATATAGATTAAAATTAATTATATTAAATTAAAAAATAGACTATTATATGTGTGTGTATATATATATATATAAATTATAATTACAAAGGAACTTTCGGAAACGACCAATAAACGAACAACTTTAGGTATTAAAATTAAAATATTGTTTTTTTACATTAGACAACATACCAAATATAATTATAAATACGTTTCGACTCACAGAGTCTTCTTCAGTTTAATTCGATTAACCTATCCTTGTACGTAAAATGTATGTCGAACGAAATCAATGTCATTATTTCAAAGCAGTCGCAACCGTTGGTAGAGTAGTAACACCATGTCCGCAATAATTGATATCAAGATATAAAAATCATAACTTAAATCCTCGTTTGACAACGAGAATCGTGTTAAGTCCCATCATGTAAGTTGGTGTCAATTATTAAAATACTATGATATGAGATGATTTAACAAGATTTTGAAAAGTCGTATCTGATTGTGTCAGTAACTGATTATGTCAAGTCCCAAGGATGATACTAATACCTAAAGCTCGTTTATTGGTCGTTTCTGAAAGTTATTTTGTTGTGCTGTTGCAAATTTCGAGCGTTATTTACATTATTTTGTTGTAATTACAAAAAAATTTTTTTTGAATTTATAAATTCTCAATTTTATTAATAACCTATATAAAATAAATAAATAGTTTTTTAAATTTAATTCATTTTGATCTACTATATAAAATCTGCAAAATATCTAATTATTCTAATACATTCATAAACGAATACATATTTATTATTCTCAATCGCAACTACATAATTATATATTAATAGAAATTTTACCGCATGCAGTAGCATTATTGTAACTATACACTGAACAAATAAATAGCGAACGAATAGCGAATGTAAATTTAAGCTATTGAAAATATGCTATATAGAAAATTATTCGCGCCGCAATAAATGTATAACAGCACATTCGCTAACGTTTAATTTAATCCACTCATAAGATACAGTACGTTAAAGAAAGTTTTAAATAAATTCATTGTTGCATTTGCTGTTCATTCGCTTATGTATACCCATTTAGTTGAACAACCTAATAAAACACATAAAAAGGCATGCAAATGTCAAAGCTTCTTCAAAATAATTATAAAATTATATACATATATATTGTATATAATTATATATGTATATATAGGTATATAAAACTCCTGTTCATCCTTCTTTCTCGAAAAAATGAAACAAGGGATATATTATAAAATTATTTAAATGAATGTTAAATTATATTCCAATTTTTGTAACAAATAACATTACATACTTTTAATAATTTTATTAACAGTCAAATTAAAATTCTACTAAAGCGATCGACTTAAAAATAAATTATATACATATACTATTATTAATGTATATTTATATATATACATGTTTAGAAATTAAATTCCTAAAAATGTGTTTTTCTAAATTTTCTAGATTTTCTATTAATCTAGATGTTCTATTATAAGCGATCGTAATTTAGAAATAATTAAAGCTACGATATTCGTACTAAGAAAACGATCTACTTTAAATTCATCAAAAAATTAATACAAAATCATTTCAATAAGGGAAAGAAAATAGTTTAAGTGATCCATATTGCTTTCTATGTATAAAGATATCTTGCGAAAAACTCGAGTGTACGATCGAAGGTATAGAATCGGATTGAAAGACTATTAGTACCTAAATATGATGGAGTCCAGATCAAATGGATATTCTATAATTCCGGTGGTGGGAGCTCGTGCCCGGAGGATGTCTTGCTCGGTCGGAAGGAAATCAGGCTTTTCAATACGCTCTAGGTCACTAAGATAACTGCAAAACGAAACAAAAAGCTGCTGTCTGGAAGTGCATGCCATGCGTGGTACATTTAAAAAATATATATATTTAAATATAAATAATTATAAAACAAGAAAATGTATAAAACAGTTCTCACACATGCTTGTCCATTGGTTTAGCCTGAAAGAATTTTTTAACGTCGATGTCGTGTCCTGAGACTTACTTTATGTTTTATAATGTACTTTTGTTTTCGAGATACAAAGTTTGAACACGAAATCATGCGGATTTCTTTAAAACAGAAGCTAGTAAAGTTAATTATATTCGTATACATATAGATTTCAAATAAAAGATAAAATAAAATTAAATATCACGTATAAAGTAATTATGCAGTAATTATGCAGTTATAATTTTTATCAACACATTAGATACCAAAGAAAAGAAACACTATATATATATAGTCGCTGTAGATCTGTTTTAGATCTTTATAAAGCAGAAAAAATTTTTCATTTTCATCTATACAATTAAGTCAATTCAATCACATCTAATATGATAATGAATGCGACTACAGTTTTTAGCGAATTAAAAAATCCTGTCGTCAGTTTTGTTTATATTTAATAGAAGAAAGTCAACAGGTTTAAATAGCATTGCATGGAACGGGGGATAGGTGAACACTTAATTGAACAACGAATCCTAGGTGCAGCGAATAAGTTATAGAGAAGACAAAAATAATGCAGAAACGGTCCGATGCAGGTGGTTTTGCAGGCGCAGGCAGCTCGCTCCTTCTTTCATCATCTTCGTCGGTCGACCACATACCTAAATCGGATCTCTTCCAAGTCAAAGGGATATTCAATTATACCGGTGGTGGGCACTCTCACACGAAGAATGTCCTGTTCTGTGGGGAGGTAGTTTGGTGCCGCGACTCGATCTATCTCCATTAGGTAACTGAAACATCGTGTTCTCAATACGCGATGTACAGGAAAGAGGAAAAAAGGAGAGGAAGGAAGTAAAGCCACCGTGAGAGAATTAAATCGTGTCCGGTGCGCGCGTGAATATCAGAAACATTGCTTCGAAACGCAAACGCAAGAAGGATAGGATGGACACGTGTTTAAACAAGATTCAGAGACAAATCTCGGTAAAATCTCTGAAAATGAAAAGCTTATTGAAAGGCTTTAAGTCAACTATCATTCTCTTTTTCTTCAGAGAGAAAATGGACGGAAATATATTCCTACATATATTATATGTTAAAAGGCAGTCTTTATTAAAAACTGACCCAAGCCCTTTTGGAAAGGAATTGTTTGGATATGCTTCCGTGTGTGTGTATTCTGGAGGCGGAAGATACAAAGTCTTTTCATATGTATCGTACACAGTTTCGATATAAAATATTTTTTATTAATTTAATGTCCCTTTTCGCTTGATCAGAATTGTATAGACGAATTGATGGGGTAAAATTTGTTTGTCATGAATCTTGATGCTTTTCTCAAAAGAAAAATCAATTTGTTGAAAACGAATCAATGAAAGAAAGATTAGTGTTGAATCGTTCTGTTACATAAGTTTTTTCGGTTAGGAAATTGAGGACGTTATAGATGGACGGGAGGATAATCTCTCGGTAAAACACGTGGACAAGCATCAGTTCCGCGACAAAAAGGCGTAGTACAGTCGAAACTTACTACTTGGCGGAGTCCGTGAGCTGGTATTCCCGTCTACGATCGTAGCACTCCTGTATACCCGCGTCCGCCCACAGGTCCTTGATTGCTCCCACGTATGGGCTCTCGAACGTCGTCACTGTTTCAAAGTCGACGCTCCGCACCAGTTCCGCTTTTTCCTAAAAGGAAGAGGAAGAAAACACGTATGAATCTATAGGGAAATGACGAAGCGAAATTACAATGTACAATTTACGAGTTTCCGGTTGGACGTGTCGGGATGTCCGATATCAAGTATGCGATACGAAATTATCGTTAACCTTCTCATGTGCAGCACAGTCAATGCTTTAATTAACCCTTTAACGCGAAGTCTGATCTGCAATAACAGATTTAAAGCGTTTGGTATATCTGATGTGTACATCAGATATATCTCGGAGCCGCGTTAAATTAAATAACACGTGATAGGATCAGTAAATTAATTAAAGAAAGCAAAAATTATAATGTGAAGTATAATATTTTTATCAGCTCTGGAAAAAAATTCTATTGCATTAATTGGAAAAAATTCTGGTTTCATTAGAGATTCAATCAGAAAAGTACAAATCAGATACTTGTAATTAAATTTAACATTCTAATCTACCACACGATATAATTATAAATTCAATTACGATAACCGAAATTCTGATTGATATAATCAGAATTCATTTTTTTGTACTTCTTGTTAGTATACAGCGAGAACATTTTTCTCAGTAAAGACACTTCGATAAAACCGTAAATTTACATCTAGTGTCGCTCCAATTTCGAAAATGCCAATTTAGAAATTTATACTTTCTGTACAAAAATGAACG